TACAAGAGACAGACACGACCCTGGGATGAGTTCATGGGGTCACACCTTGACCCTGATGGAGACCCTTCATCTCCCGTGCCCCTGTGAAGAACAGAGAGGGATTAAACTCCAGGGCTGCAGGCCGTTTGCATCGAACAGAACGAACAGATCCCAGCCACAAATCACTCAGCATTTTATCAGGCTCTGAGAGGATTTTCTTCCTTGCTTTAACCCTTTGTGGGTCCTCAGTGCCTGCTGCAAATGGCTGGTAAGGGGTCCTCGAGCACAGATGGTAATTCTTCCCCCTTCTCATACCACATACTCTACATCCATGCTGAGGCAGGTGGCTGAGAAAACCCCTCTGAACTATGTGTCAGTGAAAGTTAGCTATTGGGAGTAAATTGTGTATCAAAAAGTAAATACAAACATCAGTTCTAACTGCAATTGCATCACTGACTGACTCCAGCTCTAGTGTAACTGGTCCCAGAGTCAGGTTTTGAGCACGAGCTGAGGGTTACACTGGAGCTGGTGGGATTGTGTGTGTGAGTGAATGGTGCCAGACAGGAGCTGGGCAGTGGGCTCCCAAAGGCTGGGTGTCATGGTTTACCAGATACTATGAAGAAAATTAACTCTACTGCATACAAAACCAGCCTGATGGGACACATCTGGGGATTGCAGGCAGCACCATGCCCATCCCGCATCTATTGTGGTATTTGAGTGCTCTCTAGTGGACAGAAAAGCGGATCCAGAGGCGAACAAAACTGATGCGCTGTCCCCGAGCTTAAGTCACTCCCAGCTGAGTGTCTGAGGCATTGGGTCTATAACACCCACACACCATGGGCCTGTGCTGAGTGTCTGGGAACAGGATTTGGGAGGGAGGCTCAAAGCCAGGTCTCCCAGATCTGTGATGCTTCGGGCAGAAGTGTGATGAGAGAGCCGTGCAGAGTGGCAGGGAATGCCAACCTCACCTGGTAAGAGCTGACTCACACGCACAAGAACCACCTCAACCCCTTTGAACTATTTTTCAGTGCTTTTCCTTGTGTTGAAGGAAACACCTGCAGTTCCTGCTCCTGTGTGTATTAGTGGTTAGAAGAGCAGAGAGGTACTGTGGAAGGAGAGCAGAAACATTGGTATGGAAGGGAAGAAAGAAGTGGGGAAAAATTATATGAACTCATTTTCCAGCTGCTGCTGAGCCTCCACAAGCCCTCTGCTCTGAGAGCCCTGCCAGTGCTGGATAGTAGCTCTGAGGGAAAATATTCCTGTTTCATAGCACAAAGTGATAAGCCACTGGGTAAAGTGGAAACCTAGACTATGCCAGTGTAAAAACAAGGTTATTAAGGAAGTCAGCTCAGGACACAGGCCATAAAATAGTTATGTAGTAGGTACTCTCACATCAGCAGTACCATAATACTGAACTCAAGTGTTCAAAAGGTGTCCCAAAATCATGAAATTTATAAGGATATTGTATTGCAGTTGGGATTTACTTATAGTAGGTATCTGAGTGTTGAGTTCTAAGAATAACTCATTTTCCTTTTATTTCTGTGAAATGACAGCTAAAAGATTTTTTATGATGGTGGCAGTAAAACCAGAAACAGCCACTTGACTCCTGAAACAGCTACACCTCTTGTTAAAGAGGTGATATGCATTTCTACATAAACTCTTTGTTTAAGACCTGGCTTCTCCATTACCTCTGTGTTGGGAGGGTTATTATTTTAGCCTTCATGGATGATACTGTTTTTCAGCATGAACTCCTTTTACATAGACACTTTGCAATGCTCAGACATCTTGAAGACAAAAAAATCTCCTTCAACCTCCTATTGAGCTTAATTACTTGTCTCCCACTCATTCTTTTCCTTCACTTTCTAGAGGCTTTTGACTGAAACCAGACTGATCTTTTCTTCGAGTATCTTCTCCCACTTGGAGCAGTCATCTTTGGCCTTGTCTCCTTTATGCAGAAACCACAAAGGGTCTAGTACAGTATCACACATACCTGCAGGAGAAGAATCTGTGTTTGTATTTAGGCAGTTATTCTACGCAAATTAATTAAGAATTTTACTACAGAGGCTACACATAAATCAGGCTAGTAAATATGGACTGCGTGAATATGCTGGTTCAGTTTGTCAAGGGTATGGAAAGAAAGGGGAAAAAAAACCAGAAAAAGAATAGATAAAAATAATTCAAGCAATGTACCATACCAGCCAGTGCTGCAGAGCTAAGAGACTAAGGGAAAAAAGCCATAAATCCCAAAGAAAATAGTCCTGAAACTTCAGAGGGTTTCTTTGTCTTTCCTTCACTCACAGACAATTTAACTGAGGCAAAGGCAACCATGAAAGAGAGAGGAACAGCTGAGGGTAACCCAAGTAGCAGGAAAGAAAATGTATGTTTGTAAGTGATGACTGTTACTGGTATTGGTTCTCAGATTCTTTGCACATTCTCCCACAGGCTTTCCCCTGCAGGTTTTTCAGTGGATAATTGAGTCAAAAAACTGGGTCAGTGGAAGAAATTTTCTGTGTAGCAGCCAAAGCAACATGAGAATCAAGCTCCAAGTAATCTGGGAGGTTGCTTCTCAAAGAGGCAAGTTGATGTTTAGCTCCTGCAGACAGCTCTATTGGCAAATAATTTTTTTCCTGACAGGTTTGATTTGTGTCCACCTTTTATGCAGAGGTTCACTCTTCACAGTCACCATCTGAACAAAGACCCTGCCTTAACCTCATGGGAAAATCAGCTGATTATTTACACAATTTCAGAGGTTAGCACCACTGAGGTACCTGTTTTATTTATATGTTACAATGATACGTGTGAGTTATAAAAATGCCGTATATGATAAGGCTAGTTAGGAAATCAGATAAACAGGCAGTGCTTGGACTTCTTCATGAGCACACAGACATAGCATACACAGCCTCTCCAGGACAAAGAGTGGCTGCTTACTGAGGCCAAGCAGACACTCCTGTTTGGGGAGAAAATCCCCAGCTTTTGAAGCACCTTCGCAGGCACTTGGCAACATCTGGAAGGACACTGCTCAGTGAGCACAACAAGCTTCAGAGGGAACTCATGGCTCAGGTCCTGCTCTATTTAAACTGCCAGCTGCTTACTCCTCGTTACTATCTGAATAAATTGCATTATCCAGGAAGTCAAATGGGGATAAAAATGCCATTAGAGAAGCAATTTGTTTAGCCATAAAATCATTCATTATATGCTTTCAGGAATTCCACCCCAGGGCTTTTTAACCCTTCAAAGGCCACATGAGAACGATTCATATCCCAAAAGCACTTCCTGGTGGCTTGCAGCACGTCTGGAAACTGCAAGTCCTGTGCCGTAAAGGCTGCAGCTGGGTGGTGGTGTTTACACTCTGCTTAACAAAAGGTTTGTAGTGGCAGGGAGAGATAATGAGGATTTAGGAAGGAACCCCACCTATGTAGTCTCCCTTATTTTTGTTTTGACTAGTGGGTTTCATGTTCCAGATTTCTTGTTTCACTGCAAGTATCAAGATTGTTATGTGTCTGCCACTTTGGACCTCTCTTGATTTTGACATTTCCATTAGATCCTAAATTCCTCCAGCTGTTCCTTGCTGGGGTGAAAAGTCTTAAGGCACTCGCTAGGTCCTCTTTCAAGGGCTGCTCCTCTCTGGGGATACTGTTGCATACCCACTTGAGGTGCTCAGCCTGTTTGGAGGCTGGCTGCATTGATGTAGTGTCAGCATCTGTTTTTTATCACTTTTATAATATTCCCTGGCATTACCTGTGGTTTCTGTCTGTCCAGAGAAGGAAAACAGAGCTGGTGGGAAGGGTCTGGAGCACAAATGTGATGAGGAGCAGCTGAAGGAACTGGTGGTGTTTAACCTGGACAAAAGGAGGCTCGGGGGAAACCTTATCACTCTCTACAACCACCTGAAAGGAGGGTGCAGCCAGGTGGGGGTCAGTCTCCTCTCCCAGGCAACAAGCGACAGATAGAGACATAGCCTCGAGTTGCACCTAAAGAGGTTTAAATTGGAAATTAGGAAAAAAATCCTTCACTGAAAGGGTGGTCGGGCATTGGGATAGGCTGCTCAGTGAAGTTGTGGAACTGCTGTCTCTGGAAGTGCTCAAATAAGCATGTGGATGTCGCACTTACTATGTTGTGGTTATGAGTTATGGTTTAGTGGTGAACATGGTGGATGGGTAAACGATTGGATCCCGTGACAACTCTGTAATTCCGTGATTCCATAAAGCTGTTCCCGGTGCGAAGCTTTTTTCCTAAGTGTTTCCCTGCAGGAGCCCTGCACACCAGCACAGAGAAGCCGTGGATAACCAAGCGCCCAGGTACGCCCAGCAGCCTGCAAACAAACCAGGGCTGCCCAGCCCGGCCACAGGTGCCTGAGGGGCAGCAGAAGGAACAGTTGCTCCCCTCTTCTTTCCCAAAATGAACTTCGGAGCACACAGCCGCTCCGAGGTGCACGGCCAGGGCTGTGGGGGTGGCCGTGCTTGCACCCGGCTGGCGCTGCCTCGGGATGGGGCTGGGTAAGCAGCGCCGTGCCCATTGTTTCAGTGCAGGGAGATGCGTGTGAGCTGTTTCCCGTGAGGAGGAAGAGGAGAACCAGGGATGCTCCGAGGCTCGGGGGAAATTTCGGTGCAGGAGGAAGAGGAAGCGCGGGGATGAGTTAGTGGGGTTCGCGTGGCGGCGTTCCTGCCCGTCGGTGTAGTCGTGGCCGAGTGGTTAAGGCGATGGACTAGAAATCCATTGGGGTCTCCCCGCGCAGGTTCGAATCCTGCCGACTACGAGCCACTATTTTCCTCCCCGTGCCGGACGTTTTCTTTCCCCGGCTCCTTTTGCACCGGAGCCGCCGCCGCCTGACATCCGGCGGGGCAGCCGGTCCAGCCCCGGGAAGGGAGGCGGGACCTCCTCCCGCGGCCATGGAGCAGCGCGGCGCGGCGCCCGCCGTGCTGGTCACCACCAGGTACCGGGGCCGGGCCGGGAGCGCCCCGCGCCCGCTGCAGCCTCGGCGGGGCAGCCCGGGCGAGGGAGCGGGGGAAAGACGAAAGGGAAAGGAAAGGAAAGAAGGGAAGGAGCGCGGGGCGGTGGAGGCTGAGGGAAAGCCGGGTGGTGCCGCGTAGGTTTGCCCCGGGGCATTTCAGATGTCCTCCAGTTTTCCTGCCTTTCTCATCCGGAGGAGATCCCTGGCCATCCTGTGTTCCCTTTCCTCTGGTGATAACTCCGGGTCGTTTGCTGTCCGCTCTGGCGCAGCGTGGGCTGTCCCCTTCCAGGAACGCCTTTTCCTGGTCGGTGTGTCGAGGTGGGTGGGCAGGAATTAGGATTTATCCCGGTGTGTCACCGGTGCTTGGGCTGTTGTCCATTCCAGCTGCTGTGCCTGCATCCCGCTGCTCCTCCGTGTTCCCACTCTGGCTGGAAGCCCAGGGACGGGCAAAGAGAGTTTATTCTCCTTTCCCACCTTCTCGAAGCTATCCCCTTCGTGGTGCAGGGGCGCTGTTTTCCTTTGCATTAAGTTTTTAAACCTTATTTTTTCCTAGATGTGGTAAAGGAATCCTCATGAGAAATGCCTCAAGAAGAAAATGTTTATGGCAGTATTTTATAGGGAAATTGATAGATCTCTCTCTTTTTCTTTTTTTTTTTTTTTAATTCCCGAGATATTTGAGACCACATGAAAGCACTTTCCTATCAGATGAGACCTAAGAAGCAGAAGTGTTGATTCAGCAAGGTCGTTACCTCCTAGAACGTAATTAATGACTACTTCAGTCACTTTAACTTCAAAGCCAATTTTTAAAATCCTTAAATATTTGGCTGTATCAGGGCTGGACTTTCCTTGAAGTAGTGGCCTTGAACTTTCAAATGTATCTTATGTGGCTAACAGATGTTTTGTAGGACTGATTTCATATTAGGTTTAGCCTTGGAAATAGAAATCTGAACACCTGGATTAATTTTACAGTTGTTAGACTGAAAAAGACACACTTGCAAATTCTCCCACCAAAACTGCAATGCTTTCAGTGATAAAATTGGGTATATATGTATGTGTGAGATTAAGACTTTAGCCAGTGAACATATTTTCTAGCTTCTGAGGTGAAATAGCTATATAGTTGTTACCTTCTCCACTCTTTTTTCCGCATTCTTGTTTTGGGAATAGGATTCCTAGTTGCTGTGGTAATATAAATCATGGAATCATGCTGAGTTAGATCATTGAGTCCAACTCCTAGCCCTGCTCAGGATATCCCAATGATCACACTATGTGCCTGAGAGCATTGTCCAAACACTTCGTGAACTCTGTCAGATTTGGTGCTGTGGTCACTTCTCTGGGGAGCCTATAAAATCTGTATACTTGTAGTTAGACTATACAGAGAAATAAATTATTTGGTGAGTACTTTGCCTTCATTTAAAATTGAAACTACTTGTTCAATTTTTTTCTCCTTCTGTTAAGACCAGGAATGTCACAGTGTGGTCCCCTGTGGAGAGAGGAGCTGGGTGCTGCTGGCAGGGCTGACTTTATCAAGGCAGGAAGCATAGACTCTGCTCTCCTGGCCACACAGATGCTGGAATAAATGTTTCTCTGATCACAGCACTTGCATCTCTTATTTTACTTCCTTTCTGAAGGTGGCTATTTCCCCCCCCCCCTCCCCCCATGTTGTCCTTTCAGTACAGAAAGCAGATTAATTAAAATACAATTTAATTATTATACGCAAATCAAAAGAACAGGACTGGAAACCCAGCTCTTCCGTGAACTGTGGAAGCTGCTCAGTTCAGCTGCCCTTTGTAGTCTGCACTTCCTCTGTTCGGGCCAATCCTGAATGATCTGCTTGTGCAATGATCTGATTCACGCCAGTGTTGCTGGTGTGAATGTTTTCCTTGTATTTGAGTGAAGTGATTCCTGTTAGGACCATTAACCGTGTGCCCAGGTGAACTGTCTGTTTTGTAGACAGAAATGTAAGCTGGAGATAAGTTAGATTCAAAAAAAGAGAAGAAGCACTAAACCTGTGTGTCCAAGTTAAACAACCAGTTTTCTCCTTTTGCTACTTTTTTTTAAAGCTACAAATGTAAAAATAATTGTGTTTTATGGGAAAAAATGCTGTGAAACTATATTCTATCTTGGGATCTGCAGGTGCTGGTTCTGTTTGAATAACAATAACAATGTTTAATTAATTAAAACACGAAGGCTGTTCATTTTGAAGGCATTACAAGAACTAGGGACCACTTTGGATAGTACAGTCTGTCTGTCTCAGCTTTCCTGCTGATTTCTGTTTGTTTAGAATCAGTTTTATATTTAAAAAGAAACCCTGTAACTATGGAAGAGATAATAGGGGTGGGTTTCCTGTAGGAGATGATACTGAAAGCGATCATAAGACCTAAAGCAAACAAACAAAAATATAGCTATTCCCCTCCGTTTAATCATTTTCCATGGCATTTCAGTGCAGACTTGTAACAACTTTAAAAGAAAACCCCTGGGTATAGATAAGGTACTAACTAACTTCATGACAGTTTCAGAATTCTCTAATGCAGCAGCTCTAACAATGAAGTTGTAATTGTGTCATTTCAGAATATCTGTACATGGTTGGTGTTTTCAGCTAAAGGCCACTTGAGGTTGGTTCACTGGTCGTTATTCCTTTTATTTATATTAGAGGTGTAAAGCAGGTTAATTAGTCACTTATACTCTGTGTTAACAGAAGTAGAATAACAGACTCATTTGAGATAGAAAAGACCTTTAAGATCATCAAGTGCAAGCATTAACCCAGCACTGCCACATTTACCACTAAACTCTATTCCCAGATACCATATTTACACATCCTTTCAAGGACTGGTAACTCGCACGCTTCCCTGGGTTAGTAAGTCATTCCTGAGTATGAGTGACAGAACTTTTTGCTGCCATAGCTGCAGTCACAACTTCTGAGTGACTGCACATCTGGAGAGCTGTTAAGATCTGATTATTGTGATTATTAGAGAGAGATGCTTCTACCCAAATTAATGTGCAAATGAGTTCATATGCTAAAATCAATAATGCATATTTTATTTCGTAAAACGTGAGAGAGAGACAAAGGTATACAAAAGAGGGTGGGGGGAGAAGCAGAGAGAGAAAAATTAAGTAGAAAGATAATCACTAACCTTGTGGATGCAGCAGCGTTCTGTTGGTCCTTCACCCTTTTTGGTGGTAAGAGTCCCACAAAACGTAAAGGTGCATGGGTTAATACACATTCAGGTATATAGAGGCATGGCCAAGCACCTCCCCTGCAGGGCAGTTTTGCACTGTCTTTTGCTACACTGAGAGCTGTGTACAATCCTCTGATGGAAGGTCCCAGAAATAAATCTGGAGGTGCTTTGGAGGGTATCTTTGGTGGTTTATGACACGTTTTAAGACATGACAGCTGCCTCTCATGCCTCCGTACTTGAGCCTGTTCTGCTCCCTCAGAAGGGATAAATACCCTCAGGCCTACATGTGAGTGTGAATGTCCTGTGCTCAGTGTGTCTCTTCTTTTGAGTCAGTGCACTATGGTCTCCTCCAGTCAGAGCTGACTTTCAGCACAGTTGCTGAGCTGCCTTCTCCATGGACTCCTTGTAGTGTTACACTCTTCTCCCCCAGCCTTGTTTACCTCTCCTTAGGCTTGAGATAACTTGGACAATAGTACCACCTTTATCTTATCTCAAGTACCCATCAGGTGGCTTAATTTACTGTCCCTATTTCCAGGAATTCACAGGGGCAAATCTGAGGTGGAGTCGTTGGTGGTCGAAGATGAGGAGTTGCTTCTTTATACAGTCTGCCATAGTGGGCAAAGTCCTTTGGTGATCTTAACAGTGTTTAAGGCTATTGTCATCTGTCAGTCTCTTATAAGAGCATATTCTCTGCTGCAGGTATATTCTAAAAAACTCCAGATTCAGCTGATTTTACTGGCAGGTGCCCTTAGAGTCAGCATTTTGGCTGCCACTGAAGGAGGCAGAGTTCCAGATGGTGGTTGTTACTCACAGGTCCACAGGTTGTGATGTGAAAGCCAGGAACCTGTGTGTTCACACACAGGCACTACTGGTCCTGTGTTAGAGCCAACCACGTATAACTGAGGACAAAATTTTGTCTGGATATGTAAAGTCCTTGACTGGCAGAACATGAGAACAGAATTGGAGCAGACAGAATAGCATCATCAAAACACTGGAGATGATAGAGCTATTGTTAAAGCCCTAAGGTTTTAAATATGGCTTGCAAAGAGGATTGAGTACAAAACTGGGTCTGTGTCCTTGTTTATTGTTATTCTATTTATCAAGAACTCTCAAGATACTCTCTTTAAAAGGCTTTTTATTCAAGCTTTGAATTAGAGATTCAGAGGTTGCCTTCTACGAGAAGCTCAAGTTTCATAAGAACTGATCAAGTTTCGGCATGATGAAAGGAATCTTTTGAAACTTTGTTTGAAACTAGATGGTTTAAGCCCCTTGAAGGTGTATATTAAGTTCTATGCATTGTGTATCCTTAGATGAAAAGGCACTTGTGTTAATGAATCTAAACTTTCTGAAGGAAGAGGTAAGAATTCCACAAGAACTCTGCAGTCCACAGGAAATCCAAGGAAGATGGAACTTGCTAATCCTCATGGTTAAAGTTTAAAAAGGCAGAAAAAAATGTTTAATGATCCAAGTTTGGTTTTCTTTTAAATGATCCCTTCTGATTTATCAAAAAAACATTCACTCACACATAGGAAGGATGTACCCAGAGATGTGTTCAGAAGGTATTCAGTCCTCTGGATGGTGAACTTCTGATTATGGCAGAATACTTGGTTCCAGTGACAGTGAGTCTTCTGTACCCTTGGATAGGGTAACTTTGGGGAAGGGGTCTTTGATCACCTTTGGTTTTCAGGCGGTTGAAACAATGTTTATTTCATTAAACGTACTGTATAATGGTCCAACAGCAACTGCTTGGTCTTATCTTGATGTGTGAGCACTCTAATATGATCTGATATTCCTCTTGCAAAAATGTCATAAATATTTTCAGGTGGCAATCCAGAGGAAAGGTGGCTGGCACCACAGTTCTGTGAATCTGAAGTGGTCAGAAGGAAAAAAATTGATTGAGTAAACTGCAGCAGCAGCTACTCCTGTGTTGCATTTTCCTCCAGGAGGAGCCATGGGTGGTTATGACTGCTGGCAGCTCTCAGAGGTTGATACTGTGGTTGTCTACTTTAACTGGGTATGAAAGGACAGGTAGTTCTGTTCCCAGTAGGATTTTCTTTGGGAAAGCCAAGATGTTTTGGCTAGTGTACTCTTCTGGCTGTTTGGCAACAAGACTGTGTATCAGACAGTCAAAACCAGAAGGCAGCTCTGAGGGATCATGTCCTCCTTGAACTTGCTCAGTCTTGATGTTTGTCTAATTTTCTGCAAAGACCTTCACAAATGGAAACTGTGATTGGCCCATCAGTCTGCTCCAGTAGCTTCCTTTGTATTTTGGCTTTAATCCAGTTCCCTGGTTGGCTCTTCACAAACCTGAAGTTGTCCCTGTGCTCCAGGGACAGAGCTCCATCTGTCTTTCATGGCGCCTTTCAGCTATTGTCTCCATCATTCCTGGGAATGTCCTTAGATAAAGGAGAGGTGGATAGGGCTCAGCATGAGTCACTATGAACAGACCTTTGTCTCAAAATAAACCTGATGAGAGATCATGGAATCTTCTCACCTGCCATGCTGGGTTAAGAGCACTTTCAGCTCTTGTGAGTGAAGTCCTGTTCTGGATGAATCCACATCTCCTCATAGAAATACTGTCTTCCTGGCATGTTGCCTGCAGTGGCTCATGGCAGGTGCTTTGGGATGGAATATAGGAAACAGGCCATGTCCCAATTTGTCTTATTGCAGAGTAGGAAGTGTTTGGGGCCTGGTCTGTGTGATGTGCTGTTCCAGTGAGTTTGCATTGGTTTTCTTGGGCTTGTGACTGGGAGAAGGACAGTTTAAAGTCTTTGCGCCAGTGCCTGAACTCTGTGTATTTTCTTCCCTAGGCAAATTCAGAATACGCACACAGGGCTGGATTTATCAGTGCCAGAATACCAGGAAATCCATGGGAAGATGATGTCTGGCCATGTCGAGTATCACATTGTCGTTGTTACCCGACTGGCTGCCTTCAAATCAGCAAAGCACAAGCCTGAAGATGTGGTTCAATTCATGGTAAATATTTAATCAGACCTGTGTTAGTGATCACTTTCTTAATCAGCGTCGATTATTTCTGTCATGATGTAGCAGATGCTTCATCATCAATCACAGCCTCTCCAGGTCAAGGTCGTTGGTAGGACAACACAGTCTGTACCATTTCTGCAATTCCTATTCCATTATGTGTATTCATTATCCACGCAGTAATTGAACTTTTTATTCTAGCAGCTAAAAGTGACTGTTGTTGCCTTTAAGGCATTTTTTATTATGGATCAACAAATAGAAAACAATTAAGCTTCTTGTAAGTTCTGCTACAAATTAGTTTCTCCAATATATGTATCAGTACTAGACTTCGTACAGAAACATGAAATAAATATATAGTAGCTTATTTGAGTGGGTCTATTACCTAGACACAGCTTTTAAAATCTTAGTAAGAGAGGTTTACAAGGAAGTGTCCATATAAAACATTATTTAGCTGGATTGTCTTTTTCATTATATCTGCAGAGTAAAGGTTTGAAAGTACAGCACATGACTTCAGACAGGTGAAATTAATCTAATCTATGGCCTGTGCATATCCACTTAAGCTGTTGCCCCTGGGATTGTCTGTGAAGCTAATGGAAAAAGGTGCATTTAGGGTGTTCTATTTGATCTTCTTTAGCTGCTTGCTGAACCACTCCCAAGAAGTGCATTTCTCTGTCCATTGACCATAAAGGGGCACACCCTGTTGCATGCTGTGAACATCTGCTCTTTTCAGATATTTTGGCAATAACTGTAATGTCGGAGTGATGTGAACGTGTAGTTACCTGGTAGACCATGACCTGTAGTGTAACTCACACTTCATAGAAGATAGTTGTTAAAAGCCCATTTAAACAATCTCATTTGCAGATAAACATCTGTCAGTGTAAAAAAGTGCTTTACAGCAAATGAGATCTCTTGCATTTATTCCACACCTTGGGCTATATATAACTATGGTCAAAGCAGCAATGCTGGCATGGGAGTCTGTTCTGTTCTCCCTCCTCATTCCTTACTGCTTGTTCTTGCTCCTGCAGTGTTTCCTTTTGTGTGCCAGTGTCATGTGGCTATTGCACAGCATCAGCTGAGGAACTGCTCCTTGCTAAAAATGGGTATTTTGGGGCTTGTTACTCAGTACTGATTTACATCTCTTCCTTGAGCCTGAGTTGCACAATCTCATTAAAGTTTCTTCTAGGACAGGGAAGAGCCAGACATGGGCAGATGAGAGATGGGGATGTGCAGTTGCATTTTTACATGCAGCAATGCCTGCTTATATTATGTAGTATTTCCACACAGCTCTGCGGAAGAAAGAATCTGACTACACCTGAGGTGTTAAACTGGGCTGTCATCACCTACCTTTATTTTGCACCATTTAAGAATAAGTTGATAAAATCAGGCAGACTTTGCACTGTGGCCCCTCTTGTTGCTGTGGTTGTCTGTTCCCATGTCTCCCTCTGGGAGGATTTTCAGCACTCAGTTGCTCTTCTCAAGTGAAATGAACCTTCCTGATTTCTCCTCTGGTGAGGCCTCCTGACATTTCATTCTTCATGAAGAAGAAAACTGGTGGAGCCTGACGAGAATAACACTTATCTCATCAGTTACATTTTTTTCAGCTGACTAAATATGATACATTATATAGTTTGTTGTGTGAGAGTAATTCAAAACCGTGAGCTGGGAGGTTGAGGATGGATGCTTTCCATCGATTCATTCCGATGAGTCTTGTCTGTATGTATTACTGGAAGGAACAGAGGGATTCACCTGTCGTAACTTATCTCTCTGTAAGTTGGATATTTTAATCTGAGTCTGTCCATGCTTGTATGGTCAGTAGGGAGGAGGGGAATGATGTGACTCATCCTCTGGAAATGTCTATCTTCTTTGACCATAAAGGGAAAGTATTTACATTTTAGACAGCTGCAGTGGGGGGCTTCAACTCCAGGCTGAAATGCTTGAGGGTCAGTAGGGTTGCACACAAATCACTGTGTGCACTTGGAGGTGCCCTGGTATTTTCTGCCTGGCCTTCAGAAGGTTGTGGGTTTCCTATAGATCTTGCATGGTATTAGCCTGCTGCACACAAGCCCCTTGGATACCCCAAAGCATCTCAGATGGCATGGGATGCCTTCTTCTGGGCAGAACAGTCTGCTCTCTATAGTTAGATGTCTGCATTTGGTTTTTTAAATTCCCATCCCCATCGGTGCACTGCTGTTGAAAAGGATGTAGCTGAGCATCTGTGGGGTGTGGGGAACCATTTTGCATTACATAAACATCTGGTACCATTTGAGAAACCCTAAATTACCATAGGTGTGTGCACAGGGCTGGCAGGTGTGACAGAGGACATAAAGGCATTGGAGCTGCCCTGAAACAGCAAGGAGAATACAGTGCAGCATCCAAGGTGCCACTGGCTGCCTGTGTTCAGGTGAGTTGAGCTTCAGTCGCATTTCACCAAAATGTCGTTTTACCAATGACTGTCATGGGAGCTGAGACACCTCAGGCAGATGGCTTAACTGGGAGTGAAGTGCCAATCCCCTGGAAGGGAATCCAGGGAAGGTAGGTTGCACCCAGAGTGTCTGTGCAGTGTCCTGTTCTGCTGGATGCTGGAGCAGCACAAATGAGAGCTGTGACCCTTCCCTGAGGAGTTTGCAGGTGAAGTGTCGGAGCCGGGTACCCGAGGGACAGCAGAGAGCAGGCTGCGATGGGCAGCAGATCTAACACAGCAAATTTGTGTCACAGAGTCCGATGAGACGTCTGAAGGAGGAAGAATAAACTACTGCGTGCCTGTTCTGGAGCAGGGTGGGAGGGGGGACATCTCTTTTTTGCTTTCGTTGAAACTGCCAAATTGGAGGAAGGAGCCGGTGTCACAGCGGCGGTGTGACACATAGGTTAGGGAAGGCAGACAGGCAGGCGTGGTATGATTTTCCTTCTCTCTGGATACCGATTTTCGGATTGTCGCTGTTTTGGCCAGCTGGGGGGCCGGGTCCGTGTTCTGCGTCTCCTCCTTGCCCTGTCGCTGTCCCTGAGGCCTCCGAGGAGCCTCCGCTCCC